TCTTTTTGCGATTTTACTCTCTGTTTCAAGTTTCTTTAAAACACTCTATTATTAAAATTTACCAATTTTCTCAAAATAATTTTTAATTTTGTCTTATTTTATTTTTTCAATAATTTAAATAAAATTAAATTAATTATTTATATAACTTCTATAAATAAAAAGGATTATCCCGGGCCGATTTTCAGGCCGAAATATTATATTTATAAAGTATATATATTTAAGTTGAAGCTCAAAGAGAATGGAAGAGATTTTTCAAATGATTAAATCAAAATTTTGACTTTCAAATCTCCTAAAAGTTTGCTTAAAAACAAGTAGATGAATAATAATCAAAATTACAAAAAACTTTTAGAAACTTTTACTAAAGATTCTCTTTTTAAGAGTAATTTTAAGCTGAAAAATAAATATATTCAAAAATTATAGTTTACAAGAAAATAGAGAGTTTTTACTTGAACGACTTCAATTTTTCTTTTCAAAGTTATCATAAATGAGGTAAATATGCTCTTTCATACACAAAAGCAAAAATTAGTCGTTACTCACGTTAATATACTATTTTACTATTTTAAAATATATCATACGCACTGATATAAAAAAAATTACTGATATATTCTGAATAACATCATATTTTTACATTCTTATATAGAAAGTATTTTATGTAATGAAGATATAATATTACATCACAGTTTACACCCTTACACAAAAAATATTGTGTGTGATGTAGATATTATTATATCACTTTCTTTTTTTTTTTTTACTTTCTCACGAAACATAAGATTTTTGTTCTATAAATTTTCAAACATACTTTTATTTTTAAATACCATTTTAAAGATATTTTCATATAAAAACTTACATTAAAAAATGCTGTTGAAATTTATTCAAGAAATCTCTCCAATTTGGAAAAAGTTTGAAGTCATATTTAATAATTTTTTAATTTAGAAACTTTAAATTTAATTTTTTTTTAAATATTTTTTAAAAATAAATCTCGAGTTAAAAAGAAAAATCGTCTATTTACATCATATGACAATATACTAAAAGAATTACATCTCTATTTTTTTTTTTTTTTTTAAGTATATCTCTATAACCATTAAGCATTATATCTTCCTTTATATATATATGTCCAAGAAGTTTCCAAGCTCTAATTTTATTGTTTTAATTTTCTTATGATTATTTTTTTTAAAAAAAAACATATTTAAAGTAATGTTAATATAAATTAAATATTTATTATTTTATCAAAAATCAATGCATATACTTCAATAAGTTTATATAAAATAATAAGAAAATTATATTAGGATAATAAAACTTTCAAATATAAATGAGACAATATGGAATTAGAATATTACATTTTAAAATCAATAAACGATAATGATATGTATTACTACTATATATCTAATCTGAAATTTACGTGTAGACTTTAATCTTTATCATTTTAGTGAGAGTGCTCTCATTCTTCAACAGTTATAATAAATGTACTTTTGCAAATAACCTGGGCTTTATTACAAATGTAGGGAAAGAGCAATCTCTGTGAAGGTTATGAGATTTTATTTGTATGTATACGTACTAAGGGAGGTAACTGATTACTCTCGTCTCTTTCCCTATGCAAGTACTTCCCAAGAGAATATAGCAGTATATAATAACTGCTACACAACTGAATTAGTTAAGCAGTCAATATTTATTTTAAAAAAAAATCAAAATCTTTAGTTCAAGTAAGCAAACTCATCTACAAGTTAGCAATTGACGGCAGACTCTAGAATGGCGATAACATAACGTTCAGACGGGAACACCACCTAGGACATTACATACAGTAGATTTAGACATTTTCTAAAACTTCCTGGCATTTGCAACCAAAACTGGAACCATCTTCATTTACATCCTCACCCAGTTCATCAAACAGCAATCGATTACAAGCATGATGAACACAAATCCATACAGTTCAGAAAAGACCATCTGCTCAGCGAGAACCAGCGTCAATACCTAAAACTAAACCTAACTCAATAGTTCAGTAGGGAGTATTTTACCCTCAAAACTATCTTCCCTTTCTCCACACCAAGCTTTCCTCCGGTAACCAACCAATGACCTGGAGGATCTTCTGGCCCCTTGTTCATTTCAGACATGTCAACAAACTTCACCAATTTGTTGCCCACAATGTTTTCTCTTGTACCTGAACTTGAGTCGCCCAAGTTCATGGAAGAGAGAACTTGTTTTGACCTGTCATTTGGGGCATGGTCCCATAAAGATCTTCTTATTGTGCAGCCTGGTAGTCTAGAATACAAAAGCTTCATGTATAAAACATTTCTCGACCCAAAATCCCAAACTCCAAGTTGCCCTCCCGTGACTACATAGACACCAGAGTTTTCACCTGTGAATGTTTCAAGGTTCTCAATTGGTGCAGTGCTCACATGAGAGAAGTTCTTCCATTTTACTGGCTCAAACCATCGGCTGTCTTGCTCCTCCGGTCCCTGCCACTTTGGAGCACCAATTGCCACATCAGTATCCCAGTGTGGATGAAGGATTTTCGGAAGGGATGCCAAATGTTGAAGATGTATGCTTAATCGATTTCGTTTGGCTCCTTCAAGACATAATCGTAATCCTGTTACAGGTTTACGTCCAACCGACACCTGCATTTCCATTGAAATAGAGTTAAAGCAGAATTTTGTTTTGAAAGTCGACTTAACACCAAGGCAACATCATCAAAACTAAAAAACGCAGATAAAATTTAAGCAAGAAGAAAGAATTTTCTTCCGGCGCACATGTATACTGTAACATCCCCATTCTGTCAGGAATTTGACTGTTGATCTCCTTATAAAGGTTAAAACTATTAATGTTTAAGTTTTTAAGAGCTAAGTAGTTGAGTCTGAAAAGCTACTGAATGCTAAAAATGCTACCAAACCATGTATCAATGCCATGCCTCCACTAGTGTGATCTCAAGCCTGTGGCATTGATGAGGAGATATAGAATATGAAGACCCTTGAGTGGAAGTCCTCCAATATTAAGAGATATTTATTGCAATTAAAATATTTCATTTATCATTAATAATAATTCTTTTATTTAAAAACTGTTTATAGGATGAGTACTAACAGTAAGACGTTTCTTAGTTATGATCCTATCTGGTTATTTTCTTATTTAGTATTCTACACATAATTGGGTGATTATGGGACTGTATTAATTATTTCACTATTGTAAGCATGCCATAAAAATCATTGTTCAAGATTATTAAGATGTTTACTTAATTATTGAGATTCGAGGTCCTCATTATGATTTTAATTTTTCTCTTGTGTTTGTGCAATCTCTCATTTAAACTAAACATCCTTGATAATATATTACATCATAGTTCCATACATATTTCTTAACATTGAAATACTCCTTTCTATTGTCCTTATTCAAGATCATAAAGAAAAAGAATTTGAGTATAAAAAATTGTGGTAAAGACTATCCGTGGCCTTATAACAGTTCAAGCTGCATCCTTTTGGCTTAAGTTTCTTATGCCAAAGGTATGAACCTGAAAAAGATTTTAGCAAATGTTACTTGGACCAGATGCATTATTTATCCTTGAATATATTTCCTCTCACAGAACTCTCAAAAAAGAAAATTAAGAGGCAGGCCACTAGATATCAGTTATAAGCCAGCAAAACTGCACCTGCTCTTGGCTGACATAAAGCTTTTGCCCCATAATGCTGAACTGCAAAGAAGGGCAAACAGGTTCCTTTCTTTGGCAGCCAGGAATCTTGTCCTGTAGAGGAGCCCATACACGAGGGATCTGAAACTCTAAAAAGTATCTCAGCTCTTCAATCTGGGGCTTGTCTGCATATATCACAGTTTATAAGTTTATTTTCGGCATTAATAAGTCATAAACACGAGAGCCAGCATGGAAGCAGAAAGACTTTGACAGAATAAAATTTGAATCTCTTACATTCGAGGTAGAGACCTATAGCACGGGTTAGATGCTCCTTTCCAGTTACCCCATCAAGAAGAGCGGTGATAGGAAAGAATGACATTTCAATGACATCCGGAGAGGATCGTACAGTTCTTGCCCATTGGCTATGGTTTTGTTCAAGATCATCTCCTCCCCTCCTCCGAAAAATGACTGTAACATCCTGCGCAAGTAAAAATTGCAGAAATCTTTAAGTTAAGGCAGCTTCACTAAGTTATAGTGACTCAGCAACTTAAGAACTGGTAAAACAAAATTTTCTGAGATGAAGAAAAATAAAAATGATACATCCTGTTCTTACAGATCCTATAGCCCAGGGCTCACCATTGTCAGTTGCAGAAGAAAATCAGTGCCAAACATAGATGCACTGGCTCTTCAAAGCTCAACATAATCAATAATTCAATCACCCCAAACACCATTGCAATTTGAGTTCCAATCAAAAGAATAAATTAAAATTTCAAACGGTATGGTTTAACCTTAATCAAATTTAAACAATGTCGTTTCTTTTGTGAAATTCAGT